TAGGATGCCTTTACTAGGCGTACAGCAAGGTCATATACCTAATATATTTTCCACGGACCCAGTGGACTAAGAATTTGGAAAGTGATAAAACGTAAAACTGAAGACAAATCATGTAGGCGTAGATAAGATGTAAAGATTGAAGTTTGCGTGTTTGGATGTCTTCGTTATAGCCCTGGAATACCCATATAATGAGTACCTACGGGTTTAACAACCTGCAAGTCAGTAGACTAGGCTGTACCTTAGGTTGACCTGATACGCGGCTGTCTGCGGAAGTCATGGACAGTGAAATATTCTTACCTGGCTATGCGCTATTGAGGTCCGATCGTCCCTGCGACTGTCTTGGTAGTGAAGTTGCATACTACCTACCGTCGAGTTTAAATATCTTTAGTACATTTATTTGCCATCTACCTGATAGAACCGTAGAAGTTGTAATGTGTACCCCGTCTTCGCACTTTAAGCTCGTGTTAGTGTATATAAGTCCTGATAGCGTTTCTACAGGTTATGGCGATTTCATTCGCGCTCACTCTACAAACAAACTCAAGTGATTGGGGAATTTAACTTGTTAGCGTTAGATTGGCGCAAACTCTCCTCGAGACAACGACTACAGGCTGTAGAGCCCGTGGAGCTGATGCTCCAAACACCGCACATCAGTTTGGAGATCATCCAACGAGGTTCAGGGAGGTACAGTCTCCGTCCGTTCTTGATCTTTTATTTTCGCAAAAGCAGTTGATTTTGTGCGTAACATAATTTCCGGTCAGCCGCTTGGAGCTAGTGAGCACGCCTGTATGTCCTTCGAGTACGCTGATAATAAAGTCCAAGGGAAATGCGTCGCCAGGCACCCAAACGTCTGGCGTGCTGATTTTCAGGCAATGCCAGTTAGAGTTGTTTTGTCATCTGACACCATCTTTTCAGCAGATGGTATGCAGATGGCATGGGAGAAACTCAAGACATTCCTCTTTGATGTCTCCCTGCCTCACATTCCGACTGCACTTGGAAGAAATGCAAACGCTAAGGCACAATATTTCTATCTACCCGCACGTCAAATGCTAAACAGGTGGGCCAGTGTTGACGGAGTTACCTTTCGCCTCTGTCAGATGACACCTTCCCTTGTTATCAAGCGGCACGGAACCAGTGTAACCAGCAATTATGTGATGCAAGGTTACGTTACTGACTGGAGCTAGAAAATACAGCTTCAAGCAATAAGAAGCGAACTTTTGCTTACGCCAGAAGACGAAGCCTGCGGCTCCATTCATCCGTCCCGGTGTTGCACGGAACTGATGGGGTTACTGCGCATACCGACCACAATAAGACCTGCCTTCTCGGCGATTAGTATGAGAATATGTTTACGTTCGAGTCTCCTTTACCAACTATTCATTTAAAGCAGAATGTTCCGGCAGCCGTTTGTTTCCCGGTATCATCGTGTCAGAGGCCCAGGTGCATTTACTGCTGAGCGAACTGAACCCTACTAAAGACGCTAGTGTTTAAGGTATTCATCCGAAATTGTTATTTGCGCTGGCAAATAAAAGCTGTTGGCCCGTAGTTTGCTTGTTTGCGAAATCTTACCAGTCGGACCTTATCCATCGACTGGAAGTAAGCTGAAATTGCTCTGTCTATAAAATTGGAGGGAAGCAGCTTCCTGTGAACTACAGGCCTGTCAGTGTAACCTTGCGCTGGTTAAGTTGCTAGCAGAGTTGGTGAATAGGGTTGGCTAGACGAACAACCTCATCGTGGTGCCAGCTGGGTGGTTCGGGTTTAACCCGTTCCAGCAAATAGTTCGGCGGCAGTGTTCCAGGACGTGGTGGGTTTTCGCCTGGCAAGCGTTCTCCCTATAAAAAGTCACAACTGTCTGCTTATCAACACTGCGACGTGGCGGATGTGACTCGCCACACACTAAAGTCACTGGCCCGTGGATATCCGGAAATTGCTATCCAACCCACGGCATCAATCGCTTATTCCCACATCCCTGACGATAACAACCAGTCAAAAATACTGCGGCACATTCAAAAACAACTTACATTGATAGACAATTACATACGTATATACACCCGTACAGTCACATACACTGTTGTGCAAAACATGTGCTTTTTGTACATCTTTGATCACACTATGTTAGCTAAACATGATCATGCCTGTAAAGGTGTGCCTCGCGTTATCGAGAATAAAATTTTATTTATTTATTTATTTATTTAAAACCATTTGAGGTGGTTTGGCCCTCTCAATACATCTCAACCTAGCTTTCTCGAGGGCTACTACTGCCTGGCCAAATTGGTGGTTGTTGGGAAAGTTGGGTGGGTCTGTCGATCAGTGTCGATTAGTGGATGCGCTATTCATTGTCTTCAAATGAATCAAGGCCAGAAAACAGTTCAGGGTTAAGATATCTTTTCGGTAAAATCTCGTCAGACCCAAACTTTTACATGACACGGATTATGTGGGGTAAGCGTCAAATCGGGCTGGGATTGATTTCTAAGGTGTTTGAAAGGTCAAGATCGATGACTAAAGGTGGTTACAGATGGTAGGAAAAGTGCATCAAAGGAAATTAATACAAGCTTCAGGGCCTAAAGTAAATAGCTAAGGTCACAAAGGGTAGTTAAGTGACCATGTCAGTCGGCCAAGGTAGTAGTATCGGCCGTATGAATCGTTTGTGTACGCATAATTCCGGCTTCAGATGATGGATGTAAATAGCCTCGGCGATAGACAAGATTTGCTTTCGGAAGCCTTGTGATAAGCGTTCAGGTAGTGAATAGATGACTTTAAAGTCATTCTCCGATGCAGTATGGCCACTTTCGAGGAGGTGCGACATGATTGAGCTGTCTGAGGCCCTCATTTCGCCTTTGTAAAACCACGCCGGGATGTGCTCGCGAATCCTCTGGGATAGACGTCTCGTTGTGCGACCCACGTATCGTGCACCACAAGAGCACGAGTACTGATAAACGAGCATTGAACGGGTCGACGATGGCAGACTATCTTTCAAGGGTTTTGCAAGCAATGGTTTGTTGTGGTAAACAATTCTTAAGCGGGCTGCGAAATAAGTTTTCTCAACAGCTTCTTTCAAACGTCGAGACAGACTCGTTTCTCCCTCACTCTTCATATCTACGCAGTTTCCGGGCACGCTATTCGATCGCTATCCGCATGCCTTGGAGGGCAAGAGATGTGAGTTCGGGTGGGCTCCAGTCTCAGTTTTCAACAGATAGTTCTAACTGGTACCCTCAGGAATCAGTTGTTGGTCCATTGTTAATGGCTGTGCTTGCAAATGAACTGCCAAAGGTTTTGGGGCTGACTATCCTCATGTTCGACGACGACTTGAAGTGGTAGTGCACGGAGACCTACCCCGATTGCCCCCAAGTTCTACAACACGCGCTTGACAGGCACCAGGCTTGGTCCGCTCCGTGGCACTAGCTAATAAACAACAGCAAGTGTTCAGTTTGGTGCATAGGAAACAATGGTTTGGTAACGCACTACATGCTTCGCGATAATGAAATCTCTCACGCATCCTAACAAACTGACTTAGAGACCACTTGGGCTCAGGAATTTAAATCCAGCGAGTAATGGTGGAAAGCGTCTTGCAGGGGTTTCCGAGCACTCTGGATGATTCGTTGGTCATTTGGGATCCTAACTGAGGCAAGATTTGTTAAATTGGTGACAGCCTTTGTTAGACCGTAACTGATGTATTTAGTCCAGGCTTGTCCTCATCGCCTGACTCGTGACAAAATGGTAGTAGAGCGGGTCTTGAGAATCGAAAACAAAATGGTCCACTGGTTCCGGCACCTGACCTATCCTGACAGGTCGCTCAAGCTAAGGATATCTCCGTTACATTATTGTCGACTTCTTGGCGACCTGATTCTCGGTTATCGTATTCTACCCGGGTGGATAGGTGCAGCCACCACTTGGCTATTTCCTTTTATACGGTTACCTATTCTCCGCGGGCATCCGAGGACTTTGCGCCAACCCAGATCCGCTCAGGTTCAGATTGACACTCGTTGTTACGCCAAGTGATAGATACTTGGAACACGCTATCTGAGGACGTAGCCTTGTCTTTTACGGTGACAGAGTTTAAACATCACCTCGTCGCCCTCAACTTGCAGCACCGAATATTCCCCTTCTCCTCTTATTTAAGTTACGGTTTGCTTTCCAGCTATCTTCCATTTTAAACAATCTAACTAACTTCCTCTTCGTTGCACTCTTTCGTACTCTTCCGCTTTATAGGTAGACTACAAGTGCCTTTTCCATATTTTAGTTCACGCGACCGTCGAGGCGGGAACTACCAGCGCTACGCAAGTGGGTTTTGTTTGGTCGACCATGATTTGAGTTTAATGTGTTACTTTTACTCCCACAACTGAACGATCTTACCACCGCCTCCTAACCTGGAGCAATAACGCATACAGGTTGGAAAGACCATGGAAATATCCACTTGTTCCTGTCCTATTTGCATTTGAATTTTAAATTCGCCATTTCGGTGCTCCAATAACTACAAAGAAAAATCGTTCGTTTTGACAAGGTCCATGGAAGATGCTTGATTTTAATAAGTCAGGAAGCATTCTGAAAATTTTATGCGTTTTTCGTTAGCCCCATCTATTTATTCACAGTTTGTCGCCTGAGTTGGTAAAAAATTTTTACCATAAGTATAGATACTGCCTTATAGGTATAAGAAAAGCCAGTGGGAATTTTTAGCCACTAAAGTTTTCTTAGATGCGAACTCGCAAATGTCGGCTCAGCAATAGCACTGGTCCGTCACTTTTAATTTCTGTGTAACTTGTTTTAATGATTGATGGCGGTAGTCACTTGCTTAAAATTGGTTGTCAGCGTAAATTTTACAAACTTTAATGCGATCCAGCGGAGATCATTTGATTGCAGAACGGCGGGTTTATTTGCAGGCATGTTAAGTCTTGTGCTGCAGTACAGCAACCTTTGAAAACTATTGATCATGTTTTGCAACACTAATGTAATTGCTTGAAATATTTTTCTATGTTCTTTCCCGTAATATTTATGTAAAGTCACAGCTAGCAACATCTACATTTAATAAAGATAGCCATCTTGCGTTAAAAAATATATACACAAGCATTCCTAGAAGAACGCTTTTCGTAATTCAGGGCTGAATATCAACGGAAAATTAGAAGTCAATTTTACAGCACATATAGGGTTCCCATGTACAGTTTGTACCACAGAACTACGGTCAGGGAGTATTTTTCTGACTTTGTACTATTAAACTCTCCTGATCCAGCAGTAGTACTGCTATCACTGCCGACTGAATTATGTAGCGTTTCATGAACCATGTCTGTTTCAACAGACGTCACATCCTTCCGGACAGAGTAAGCCTATGCGTGCTTTTACTGACCATAACTTCGACATAGCCGGCGTCCGCAGTCTGCTCTGGTCCAAGTTACTGAATTTTCTACTACAACAACTAACCCAAAACTCCAACATCGGTATGGAATAGACGATGTCTGTGACAGTTGTTTGAATGAGGAGACTCTGGTAACCAGTGCTTTAGTAAATTTCTTCATCATTGTTAGAAGACAATCTGTAAAACTGATAAACTGGCTCAAGTAACCTCTCTTGAGATAAAGATCGATGCGAGGAAAATGACCTGTACAGATTTTGGAGCGCTTTTACCAAATCTTAGACAACTTAAGTTATCCAACAGCCTCATACCATCTCTGAAGTAAGTTGCCAGTAGAATATTCAATTTTTTCTGTATAACCTACAGGGATTCTTCTATGGTTATCCGCTGATTTCTTCGACATTTTAGATTGTTTGGCAGTGGTCTACAGGATCTAGAAGTGCTCTGGATGCCTCGCTGCTCACTAACTTGTCTAGATGGACTCACAAACCTAAAAAACATTTGCGAATTATATTTGGCCTTCAACGAAATCAGTGACTTAAGCCCTTGCGCTGGTCTTGAGTCCATTGAAGTTCTGGATCTCGAGGGGTAAGAAGAGAGAATTCATTGCTTTTTGCTTTTCCAGAAACTTACTGAGCGAAATTAAAAACATAACTTTATTGAAAACATGCAACAGGTTAAGAAGTTTAAGTTTAGAAGGAAACCCTGTGGTTACCAAGTTGGGAGGGATCAAGGTAACTGAAACGCAATGATAAATTGCTTAACAGAAGTATAGACGGTTTGTTCGCAAGGAACTCCGTCAGTTGTCAATGCTCGATGATTACCCTGTTGAAAATTTAAATCCAAACCGTTTGGTTGATTTCGACGTTACAAATTTGGATGATGACTGGAGCTATATAAATACGTTACTGCGCGAAATTGGTCTCAGTGCAAACCAGTCTGTGAGTTCCAATTTTCTTTTAATTTACAATTTATCTAACTATAAATTCCTAACACGCACCAAACTATGCAGTTACAAACTCATTAAACCCTAAGCTTACAACAATTCTGCACATAAACCGGTGACATAGAAATTGTTTAGCAAAGGAATAACATGGCAGTGAGAATTTCTGAAGGACATTCGAAGTGATTGGTTTGCATTAAGGGGTAATGATTTCCATAACCCGGATGAATTCATGAATAGTTGGCACTCGCATGTGAGGTACATTGAAACATTGTGTTTAATGGGAATAAAAGCTCGAGTTTTACATGACTCACAGGGTAAAAAGAGTTAGGGTCGGGTCTAATGAAACGTCAATCGACCTTATAGCGGGTTGGACTCTCGTGTTAGCCGTATCTGTATCAGACTTATACGGCATTTAAACAGAATGCACGCCGGCTCACAGCGCGACGTCCCACCACGCCCTCTAAAACAGCTATTGAAAGGAATTAAGCAGAAAAAAATAGAAAGAAACTCCCTCAAGTAGTAGGCAGTTATATCAGGGAATATCATGGTGTAGCTCGGCCAGATGACAGTCCAGCCGGGTCTTAAAAACCCGCCACAGTGGATGCCAAGACTAAATCGGCAGGCAGAACATTCCACGGTCGGCGGCTTCGCAAAGCGAAGTAGTGTCGTCTGCAGTTCAGTCGACTGTGTTGATGTGTGAGTCTCAATGGGTGGTCACGAAGGTGGGAGCACGATTGGTGCAGTGTGAGTAGGTGGCGACAGGGATGTCCAGGCGATTTTTAATACGTTGACGGCTTGCATAATATGTTATATACATACAAATAATGGAAAATGTTTTGTTAGCATTTTTACCATGGTAACTATAACGGTAAAATGCTGAATAAATTCATATTTTGCAGTTCCGCCACTGAACCCGACTTAGGGTCATCTTCTCAAGTGATCCGCTGCAGCGATGATCATCATCCTTTGATCCTCTGTCCAGAAAATTTTGTATTCGTCAGTGCCTATAGTGCAAACTAGTATTTTATAACTTTGTTACAATGTGGCAAACTGACCACTGTATACCTTGCTTCAGTACAGAGCTGTGCTCACGAATAAAGCATGCCTAGTTAATTTTTATCATAGTATTTGCATGACAAGACGAAACGACCTCTGTAGTGAAACAAGTCGGTTGTGAGGAAGGACTGTGTTGTCCCAGACGTGACATCGGACATAGCTTCTTTAGACGGGCGTGCTCACATCGCACCAGCGCATATATATATATATATATATATATATATATATATATGCATTAGCAGCGTCTGATATAGAATGTTAAAGTCACCCAAGGCCGCAGAATAAGTACGCGAACTAATTCCACACTACATAGGAGGGAAACGTTTGGTGACTAAAGTTTCCTCTTTGTGTTTTTCTCATGTATTGTGTTATCTTTCTACTCTCAAGAGTGCAATGTTAATAATTAAACTGAAGACATAAATTTATACAGATCTTTAGGCAAGACAGATTACACGCTATGCTCACAGGGGTTTCCAGCTAGCCAGGTAAACATACTATGCCGAATATGACTAACTTGGAACTCAAGGCTTAGGCTTTTTTCCCCATGTGGTAGGTTCATTACAATGCGATTGCACCCCGTGCGATCTTGTAGGAAAAAGAAATGCTTAACGTGATGATGACTCGCATGACATGTTTGGAGCGTGAATATGACGTCTCATTGGCGCAGGAACGTTCGGCTGTTGAATAGCAGATCCGTACTAACTCAGATGAAGTCCAACGTCATTGTTACAAGTTTGGTAGTCGTACCACACTGGAGCTATCCGCCACAAACAGCAGTTATCAAATTCCGAGCTCCGACGCATATTATCCGCACAATTATGTCAGTCCTCACTTTGTAAAACATAACTGCACAATCATTTGCATTACTAACCCTATCATTTACCAAGGATGAAGCGTATTGGCGACGTCACAGAAAACTAAAATTAACGAATGCTGATCGATCTTTTCTTAAGCGAAGTGTAATCCACCTTCCAATAGTACCGTCAACAGGAACGTTGCTCTTCACTTATTCAAGCTCCACTTGAATACTAGTTAGCACTGTGGCAGGTTGATCATAAATCTAGCCTAAGACTTGACCTTTCGTTTGGGCAAAGATCGTGCCACACTCAGATACTTTGTTCGCCAAACAGTCTACTTCGGCTTTGGCAACCGTGTAGTATCTCGCCCTCTGAGGAAACCATGGACATTGTTGTGTTGTGTTTTATTTTACTGTTTCTGTACTTTCGTTTGAGTCCCACGGTTTCTGATGGCATTATGTCTGTTAGCAGACTTTTGCAAATATATATATATATATATCGCCAAACAGTTGCAAAATTTAGGGGTTTTACGACTAAGTTAATACACTCCGCATAGTCTAAGTCAGTCACATGGTTGCTTAAGGGTGGCACAAGGTGAGGATAAAGTAGCTTAATCCCTTACTATGTACGAAATACCTTACTTGAATGATGACACCTTTCTGGTGCATCATTATTTTGCAAGTGACCTTGGCGTACACAACCTGTACATTAAAACAGACAACGGCTAGCTGATGGCAACCGTGACTCAGGCGGCGTCTTCGGAGGTTGGACAAGTAGTCGTTAAATTGCCGACAAGGGAAATATTGGTCCGTTTTCATGGAAGATTGGCCTTGCATTGAAGTTAGTCTGTAAATCAAAGCGGATGCTAACAGTTTGGAGACATAGTACATTACACTGAGGTTGCTCTGGGCTGCAGGAACCCTTCTTTCAGCTCGGGTAGGTAATCGCTTTAAATCAAAAGGAAGGAGCATTTTGCTCCACACCAAATTGTGGAGCACTAACATGTCAACTTGCCAATAATCTTGTCGCCTCTGCGCTTAGACTGCTGGGCGTAAGCACTTGTTATTTTACTGTCGTAGGTCAAGATACCACTCTGGTTTGGTTTGTGTTCTCGGTTAAGCCGTCAAAGCGATACCCCAGGTTTGTCTGGTTAACAGACCTAGAAAAATGACCTGCTAAAGTGAGAGGGGTCCATCCGCTTACGTAAATTTGCGACTGGTCATCCATCAATTTTGGAAATGTCTGGTCTTCTGTAGCCAATTATTTTAGTGACCTCGAATGGCATGTGAAAGTTTTTAGAGGCAGTTGCTGTCTGCAACTTCTAAGCGCGCAAGAACAATCTGTCATTTCTTTCATTATAAAAGATTAACCAGAGCTCTTAGTTGGGGTTGTGACATAAATCGCTGCTTTTTAAGACAGTTTGGTTGGTTCGGTGGCAATAAACTCTTTTAACCAGAGAGCGGAGATCCATTATCTCAGAGGACAATTATTAATTTCATAGACTAATTGGCCAGAGGAGAGCATCACTCGCTGTAAGAACCTTCAGTGCAGCTGCACATTTTAAGGTAGAGCAGTGGTGAACGAATTTCATAAGGAAGATTGGCATCCTAAGTGAATAGATGGATTAGTAGACTTTTGTATCGAGCAAATTGTACCTGGGCCACGACGAACTCGGGAAGCGTATACAAACGTCAATATGGACAAGAGCGTGACCTGAGTCGTGATAGGAGAACCAAATCCATATTCAATTCCGTACACTGTTCCCTCATCAGAAAGTTGTTAACAATAAGATCGCTCTGTTATCATGCATGCGTTGATAAATCTAGATGCCATCTGGGAAAGTGTCCATTCAGATTCTTAAATCTTGTGCATGAGGAAAAAGGACGGTCGGATTTTCACAGCGTTAGAAACAAGTTAGTGTTGCAAAAGCGACTTTCCTCCAAGCCGTAACGGCAAGGCGGTATTCTCCTGAGAGTAGAGGATCACTATTGCGGCAAATACGACGAAAGCATATTTTTCGGTATTGCACAACAGCTTGTGAATTTTGCGAATCAAGTCATGTTTAAGCAAACCACAACCGGCGTCGGATGAAGCTTTGGCGTTGATCACGTTAAATTTTTCTCCACGATATATGTTGATTTTTAACTCCGAACGGACTGACAATCGTGAGCGTCTGCTGCAACTGTGTGCGGAGCACCAGTTGTTTTTTAGTAGCACTGCTTTTACACACAGTGGGCGCCAAAGTGCCACTTGGCGTCCTCCTGCAGCTGGCCAGCGGTGGACCCAAATTGACCACATTGCCATAAGTTACAGATGGCGTGGTTCCATCCTGGATTGCCGCTCGTACTGGAGTGCCTGTGTCGACTCTGATCATGCATTGGTACGCTGTCGTTTCTCCATGAACTTTACGAGGAGGCGCACCAAGCGTCTCCTCCGATTGGCAACTGAGAAATTGTCTCAGTCGTCGGTCAGGCAAGCCTATTAAAACCCACTACATTCCGAACTGTCTTGTTCTAATTACACCGAGCTTCAGTGGAACAGGATCTCGGCCGCCATGCACGACGCAGGAGCATCTGCTTGTGGCATTGTCAATGGTCATTGCACCAGTCGCTGGATATCCGAGAGGTCGGTGAACCAGTTGAAATCTAGAAGAAACCTCCCGGCTGACTCTGAGCACAATGTGACCAGATGGGCTTTTAGGCATGAACTAAAGCGGAGCCCACGTGCTGACAAGGAAGCCTGGTGGACCAGTCGAGCTCAAGAAATGGAGGAGGCGGGAGCAGTAAGCAATTACAGCAAGCCCTTCCAGCTAATCCGAACTACTGGCCCCAGAAAACCAGGCGTCAGTGAGACTATCAGAGACCGCGCGAGTGCACTGATACACAATAAGGAGCGCCGTATGGCTCGTTGGACGGAACACTTTCAAGATCAGTTCAGCTGGCCCCCTGTTCCCAGACCTCTTTCCACTCGGATGATGCAGGACGGGTCATGCACGGTTAGTTTAGAGCCCCCGTCGGAAACCGAGTTCCGAAACGCGATCACAGCCCTCAATCCTTTTCATGCCGCTGTCCCGGATTCCATCCCACCCGCACTATTTAAGGATGGAGGTGGTGTCCTCTGCAAAGCACTGACGTCCCTATTC